GCGTGACAGTAAAATACTTCGTTGTGTTCAAAATGGTCATGCTTGCTTCCTTTCGATATGGAGTGCTGAAAAACGATTTGTATTGTCTGTGCAATATGTTTTGCACATATATCTTCGTCTGATACAATATTTTGAGCTAAGCGCGTTGGAAAATAACAAAATAACCATGTACCATTGAAAACCACGACGCTTCTTTCTCTTCGGCAAACGGAAGAAAACGGTTAAATACTTCGTAGAGTCATCATCGGTACTATCCGACCTGTTCTACAGTTGTCTTAAATTACCACTTTCCCTGCATACCGAGGTTCAATGGGGCTAGAGTTACAAGAATACATAGATCTCTCTTTATTACTTAAGCAACAACTAATTGGTATTTTGATAAATCAGGTGTCTCCGTTACTGCGAGTTGCGTTGCATTGGAATTTCATGGAAAGGGTATGAAGATTTTCCTGTTCTTCATTCAGTAGCCTATAGCCGTCTCCCTTTCTCGGGTTATAGAGCTGTTTTAAATAAGTCTCTCTTGCAAGCTTTTGTCGGTTATAAAGCTCTTTTAAAAAGGTCTCTCTTGTAAGCTTTTGTCGCATAATTAGGCTACGCTTTGTTGTTGGTGTTAACAATTTTTCCAACGTTCGCCTTATGCAACGTCTTCAATAAATAAATAAATAAATAAAAGTCATGAATCTTGCCAGTGGACTTCCGCCCACGTAGGGCGGACTGATTTTTTCCTAGCCTTCACGCTGTTATGAAGCTAAATAAGGAAGTTTTGCTTTCACCCATATGTAGGAGCTCCGCTTAGCTCATATGTGCTTGCTGTTCCTGCTATATACCTCATCCAACGCGGACTTAACCCGGTCTCTTCAGGTTATAGACGGCAGACCCATAGCTGAGAGCGCGAAATGAGGTCCCAAATGGAGTATTGATATGCTTTTTCTGCTTGAGAGAGATGCAGTACTATTTTAAAGTGTATTTCAATGATATGTGAGTTTTATTTCTCTGAGCTTTATTGATTTACATTCGTATCTGATACTTGACAAAGTAAGGCAAAACGTCGCGACAAACTGAGTACAACGGATTCAGTACGAAATTGGGCAGTTTTGTGTAAGGGCCAGATTCAGAAATAAGTGAAGACATGGTAGCGCCATAGCAAAAGTTTCTGCTCTATTTAACTCTTTAGGAACAACAAAGGGAATAACCCAGCCCTCTACGGTTCACTTTGTTACCGTACCTGAAATAATACAATTGAGAGCACTTTTAAGATCCCCATTTAGGTCCCTTTTCATGGTGAACCGAAAATTTAGTATTTCTGGTTTAACTAGAATCAGTTTTCATTAGGGATTAGAGAAGTTATCCTATGATACTACGGAGTTTTCTGAATTCCTCAATAGAATTCAATCGAATCTAACATTTTTCACAGAATCATTTGATCACATTGGCAAGTTCGCATAAAAACAATGACAGAAAAATGGTAATGGCAAATTACTGTATCCCATGATACTGTATTCGTTCAGAAAACAATGCTAAGCCTTCTGAGGTAGATCCATTTCATGGAAGGCCTTGTGAAGATCGCGATGTAATTTGTTTTCTTCGACCATGCCACATAAAACTCCAACCGATCGACAACCACTTATACAGATTACCACTGACAGAAGTACCTGAACGTTACTGTTTACTGTTAGCTGGTTGGCTTTGAAAAACTCCAATCCGTTTTTGGAAGGGGGAAAAGCTGTTACAAAAGCTGCTCAAGCTCATTTCGCTCAAGATTTCGATGAGGTCGGCAATAAACTTGTTTGGAGATCGTTTTGAAGCAAAATGGGCTGAGTTCGATTACAGTAATGTTGATTTTCAATATTTTAAAACTCAGTGAACAAAGGAACTATCGAGATAAACCTGAATGAGAATGACTAGGCTAAGCCCAAAATCGAGTTCCAATGGTTCTCTTTTGTTTATGAATGCAGTTGGAGTAGCTTCTGAAAACGCCCACGGTATGGCTGGGAAGAGACCTGAAAGAATGTAGATTCAGTATTACATGATAGAATGAATGTGCAGTGGTAGTAAAATCCCAAATGGATTTGTGAGCAGGTGGAAAATCTCTGTTTAGGCTAATTCTCACAATGCGAATTCCAACCCCCATGAGCCTTCTTGCCTTCAATCGTGTTTTCAAACGTAACATAACATTTGTGGAGATAATCAGAAGAAAGTAGTTTCCAGTTAAGTTTTTTCTGCTCTGTTCTGGTTTAGTTGGGGGTCTTGGTCTTCCCGTATTACAAAGCTCGCGAGCATACCCATAGAATTTCGTTTCTATGATCAAATTTCGAACAAGGGCCCTTCATTTTGGGGCTCCAGTGGGTGTTCATATGATACAACTACCGTTTCTATGCCTATCTATCTGATTTTCAATGTGAACTAAATCAATTATAATTGAAAAACTGAAAAAAAGAAAAAATTCTTCTGCGACTCACCTACGATGAATGGCGGTATAGCGAGTACTGCACTAATTGCAGTTAAGCTAAAGACGAGTGTAGCAGCTGTATAGCTTCTTTGCCGCACAGCATAGATCCCAGACAATCCAGCTACCATTACTAGTAGGGCATAGATCAGTTCGATTCCAATGGCCCATTTTGCCCCTTCCAACATACGACCGACACCAATACCAAAAATCGCCAACGAGCACAGCACCTAAAATGCTTGTGTTCGAAATAATCGAGTAAAAAAGCTCAGGTTATCTGAATGGATGAGATTAGGTTAGCAGGAAGAAACTAAAAAGTCGAAGCAGCAGCTCAAGATAGTCTTTTGAGACCTTTTACTTTCACTCTGACGCCTACCTGCATGCTGCACATCACACTAAGTGTGTTCCAACTGACGATTTCCTGTGGTCTAGGTGGAGCTGGAGGAGGCATGACTACATTAGGAGCCATGAAAGTGGATGGTGGACGTACAAAATCCGAAGCCATTCCTGGCGGAGGCATCCCCGGAACCATAGTGGCCACAGACGGTGGACGAGAAACCAGCTGAACGAAAGTGTATAAGGCTGTTTTTTGTTTTTGAATGTTTATAAATCAAACGGCAGGTCCTAGTGAATAGAAGGGTGGAGAACGAAATTCAAGTCGGCTGTAAGACTCATATTCAAGAAGCTTTCAGAGCCCTATATTGATCAGGACCTGAATCAATACCTGACCATTACAATGACTGATTTGGATAAGCGAAATTAGTAAACAGATTTTCTCCAGTAGTCAGTAGATTAGTAGAAGCTCCCAGAGAAAGGGCGGAATGGTGGCTTCCCACTTCGATTACCCACCAAGTCAGTGTATGAGTCAGAGACCAGTTGAGGGTGATTCGGAAGGTTTGACAAAACGATCTGGGGAAATCTGAACTGGTGCTTAGCTTGGTTCTAGACACGCTGCTACTAATGCCCAACTACCCAACTCAATCGCTAATCAGGGATCCATGTAAAGAACCGGAAACCTATTGATCGATTTATTGATTGATCAACTATTTGCCTCAAAATGAGAGAGCTACACAATAAATCGTCTTTTATTATGCTTGAAACAGGAAATTATTGGAAGCTTGCTGCTAAGAAAGAAGTCAAACGTGGAATTATGATGATGAAGGAAGCTTGTGTGGGGAAAGTGGTTCAAGAGTGATTGAAAAGTGCTCTATGCTTGTCATATAATAATAAATTAATCATATAAAAACAATTTTTAGCACTGAATAAGTGGAGGTGGAACTTTGCTGAAAAAAAACGCACCTTTGGAGCTCCATTCGGATAAAATGCATGAAGATTTGAGTGCATTTCGCTGAGAGTCTCCGGAGTCATCTCTTCTGGTCGTGGAAGGGTACAGTATGATTGATATCGTGATCCGACACCTGAAAAGTTTAAGCAAAATCGACGTCGACTATCATATTTCACCTTCTAGGGCGATAAAATGAACAGAGCGAGCTAATTTTGTAAAAGCGATTGTTCGTGACATACGTATTCATTCCAATTTTTACATCACGCATATTTATTTATATGGGAGACGGGCGTTAGGAACGA